CAATTAAGACACCTAAATGTGCTACAGACACGGCAACAGTCGTGAGATAACTTCTTACAACATAATATATTGAGAAGCAATGTTAAAAAGAAGCGTGTTATTGATTTTTTTGGAAGTAATTTACCTTCGTGGGTTTTGGCGATCTTCGCCATTTTGGTGGTGGATGGAGTCTGACACCGGAAGTGTGCTCTTCAAGAGTTCCGGCTCCTTCTAGCTGATCTCAGATCCGTTTAGGAATGTTTTTATTTATTTTGTATTTAAAGCTTATGAAATATAATAAATCAGCCGATGAATTAAACATATCTCAAATAAAGTATTGGTACCAAACTGTGTGAATAATAATACATACTGACAACGTCAGTACATTTCCCCTCTGTGGGACTAATAAAGGTATTCTGATGTGTTTTCTTTAAAATGCCTCACAGGTTACATCTTTATATATTTGTATAGTATACAGTCTATGCTTACAGCCAACTAATCATATTTTGCAGAAATTAAGTAAAACATTAAGTTGTAACATTTGCTGAGAGCTGAGAGAATTGCTGGTACATGTATTTTGGTCTTTTGCATACATAGCTACTAACTTAAAACGTGTGGAGTAAATAGAATAAGATAAGATAAGAAGTACTTTATTGATCCCAATTTGAGAAATGTTTGTGTTGCAGCCGCATAACAATTAAAAGACAAATTAACAATAACAAGATATAAAGCAAGGTATTATATATACATAAGTATGTGACGGAATATATCTCACTTTACATTACAACATTATTTAAAACTTGTTTTGATTAACTTAATATGACATTCATCTCTATTTGCATTTCTATTTGATTAGTTACTTTACAAATCCTCAAAAAAGTTTGGCGTCATTTTATTCCTATCATTTAAACCTTGTTTTTAGGGTTTTTCTCTACGTCACACCAAGAGCCCAAATAAAGGGAAAAGAAAACATAGGAAGAAAAGAAAAATGTAAATACAATGATCCACTGTGCAACTGTATTTATTTCCCAATAAAATTGCACGCTAATGCAATACTGAAATGTGTGGCTAAAGACTTAATATGGTATGATACCAAAATGACCGTATTCTTATTATACATCCATGAGACTGCGTGATACACCGAGAGAAGAAGAACAGACTGCGTGATATAAACAAACAACAAATAGCGTGTGCGTTCCATTTTCACTCTACAACGAGAAGCTCATGGGGCTTTCCCGAAACTGTGTCGAGAGCTGGAGTTAAATGAAATCTCAGATTTTCCTTCTTAATAGTTTGTTTGGGTCCCTCACTTCCGTTTCGCTTCTCATGCACTGATTCGCTAAGCTGAACAGCCAATCAGAGTGATTTCTTTGGCCGAAGGCCCCCCGATTCAACATGTCGAATCTGCGGCGGAAGGTGTCGGCACGGCTGAAAAGACACGACGGTGCAGTACACACCAATCTGAGTAGGGCGACACGACGCTCATCGACGGCCCGACATCTATCGACATCCATCGACGCCGATAATCGGCTCAGTGTGTAAGAGGCTTAAAGGCCCTGACACACCAATCTGACAACAAAGAACTGACACAGACCGACCCCGACTGTCGCGTCGCCTCGCATCTCTGCGGATTGGCGGTGTGTCGCACTGGAACACACCGCAAAGACTTCAGCCGACGGCCAAGAAGCACGTACGAACTGCACATGCGTGAGTGGCAATAACTCTCCTTACCAGCAGGCGGCGGTAGTGTGTATTCGTCATTCAAAAGAGGCAACAACCGGAAGACAGACTGCGTGATACACCGAGAGAAGAAGAACAGACTGCGTGATATAAACAAACAACAAATAGCGTGTGCGTTCCATTTTCACTCTACAACGAGAAGCTCATGGGGCTTTCCCCAACCTGTGTCGAGAGCTGGAGTTAAATGAAATCTCAGATTTGCCTTCTTAATAATTTGTTTGGGTCCCTCCCTTCCGTTTAGCTTCTCATGCACTGATTCGCTAGCTGAACAGCCAATCAGAATGATTTCTTTCGCCGACTGCCTTTGGCCGACAGCCTACCGATTCAACATGTTGAATCGGCAGGTTTTCGGCCGAAAAGGCGTCGGGTCGGCTGAAGAGACCGACGGTGCGGGACACACCAATCCGATTAGGGCGTGTCGACGGTCATCGTCGGCCTGACGCCCACCAACGCCGATAATCGGGTTGGCGTGTCAGGGCCTTAGCTGAATGCGGCGATTACCATTTTGTTCAGCAAAACGCCTCACAAACGTATTAAGATCTAAAGCTTTAGTGCGTTTTGATTCAAGGCTGAGTACAGCCAAACTTGACAGTCTCTTCTCTGTCATTGTAGACCGCAAATACCTCATTCCTTCCGTCTACTTGGGTCCGAATGCTTCTCGTTTTGCGCCGTCCCGTTCAAATGAAATTGCCGCCAATCATATTTCCACGATCGCGCCAGGGCCGGGGGAGGGGTTACAAGACTCGCGTCTTGTGCTGCATCAACACGTTCTCACTCCCAACCCGCCACATGTTGACGGACGGTCAGGGCCCCTCCCCGTCACTCCATTACGGACAGGGTACCCCTTGAGAGTCAGTTTTCAACGGGCAGGGCGTCCCATAGACCTTCATAGACCTCCCATAGCGTTGATAATAGACGCCATGAGAACGCTCCCCGACGGTCGGTTGTTATTGTCAATATTAATATAATAATTATTTATTTTGTAATAGTCACACTCGATTTCGCCGATTTTCTTGTTGCCCCAGCTGGTTGACACCTCTTTTAGCAGAAACAAAGGCTACATTAATGTATTAAATCGATGTTAATCCATGTGTGTGGTTGTGGAATTAATGGACGTGCCGTTATGCGATTGCGTTGCCAGGCAACGCAATTTACAAACTCTTCAACTACAACCCTAATTATATTTTAAAACATTTTAGAAGGCCTCACGAAATACTTTAATGTAAATTAAAATGTAAGTGTGAAGGGATGTGTGTAATGTGGTGATTGACATTATTCACCCACGGATCTATGGGTTGGGGGTATTGTTCCGCACGGACATTTTAGTTAACCGGACTTCCTGTTGATGTGAAATCCGAAAACATTTAAAAAAAAATAATAATACTTTATTCCGAGTTTGCTTGCTTTTCTCTTTGGAGGTCATCACATAACGGCATTGTAATATGTTCGGCTGCTAGGACCCGTTCAAATCCAGTTTTGGACAGTCTGTCGTGGTTCCATCCCATTTCAAAGTGCTGTTTGACGCTCGGCGTAACCCTCGGCGCACACTCAATCATCCAATCACAGAGCTTGAGGACTATCACGGGGTTTGTCAAGCGAAGCGGAGAGAATACTTACTTCCGCGTGTAAAATTCTCTAAAGCAACTACTATGAGCTGCTCCGACCCTCGGTCCTGACGGACTCCAACTTGTGTTTATTAATCAAACAAATAAATACACACAAGGATAATTATGTGTTATTGTTGAGTAAATAACAGTGTGTGGTTTAGAGAAGAATACAAAATTAGAAGGAAAAAACGATGAAACAATACAGATTTCAGTATTCTGAGCCCCTACTCTCCCCCTAACTGACGGCAACAAAAGTCCTACATTATTCAATTAAAATAAAGAAGTAAAAACAATAAGTGTGGCTTGATCTTGAGTAAGAAAAAGGTTGATAAACGCTGTGAGAATGGATCTGCGGAGAGCATTTAGCCGCGATCCCAACTTGTCTATTACCAACGTTCAGGGAGCTCTATGCAAGTCAATGGGACGCCCTGCCAGTTGAAAACTGACTCTCAAGGGGTACCCTGTCCGTAATAGAGTGACGGGGAGGGGCCCTGACCGACCGTCAACATGTGACGGGTTGGGAGTGAGAACGTGTTGGCTGCATTCACTTGCACTCGGACATTAGAGACTTTCTCTCATAAATGTCCGATGAGCCACAACTTTTCTTTCAAAACAAAGCTGCCAACTGGGGTGGCAGCTGGGGTGGCAAGGCCTATTTTTAGGGTGGCAGTTGCCACCCCATGCCACCCTGGTAGATCCGCCTCTGACTGCAAAGTATGCTGATACATGGACAGAAAGACTCACTTACAGTATGGTGGTGTCACAACAAAACACATTTTCAAAACAGAAAACTCAACTTTCCAATAAATATTTACAGTGTTTCTGGCAAATTAGCATCTGAACCATGTGTTGTTGTGTTGATGGGCCTTCAGCTGCCTAACCAACACGTATATAAAAGTGCACATCTTGAAGGTTTATTGACAGAATCATAACTTTACTTATTATTTAATCATAACCAGTCACACCAGGAGCAGATGGAGGTAATTTAGTCATACCGTATATATTAGATGATACAATGTTCAGCTTTAGTGTTCATAAAATGGGATTATCCTGTAAAGACAATGCTCCGGCCGATAATGGAAAATGTATATTATTATGTAATATTCGGATAATGAAGTTATAGTTGATTAACTCTTGGACCATAATACAAAGCCAAATTGCTTTTATTTACTTAACAAGCGCTTCATTCAACACTCAGATACAGTCGGTAGTGGAATGCAATTTTAAAGTTGGTTTGACACACAATATTAAGTTTTAGATGTAGATACAAATGAATAAAACATGAGGTTGGGAGCATACGGCAGGCAGAAGAAGCTCAATACAGAATGTTTGTCAGCATAAAATGTGTCCTTGAACAGGAAATTAGAGAACTAGTGCTCACTTCAAATCATGTTTCACAAAATAATTAAGGGGTATGATTCCAATGATATTTAGCATAAATATTGGAGGACTAGGATTTAATTTGATAAAAAAAAAAAATGTGTTAACCAAAGCAGGATAATGATAAAAACAGCTGTACACACTGTTGATCTCAACAAAGCAAAGTGCTTTTGTAAAATGCGACTGATCTGACTGAAGTCCACGGAGGCTGATGACCGTAACTCAGCTGAATGTTTACTATTTCTTAACTTCTTTGCTTTTTGGCTGAATGCCCTCAACAATTATTAACTGGTCCTGATCTTAACTGAAACCCTTTTGGCATTATTATTTCATTCCTGACAAAATGTGCGTGAGATATCTTGGAGTTTTTCTCCTGGTTTGGAATCCACAAGTGCTGCATGGTAAGGGATTCAACTCTGTTGCTTAGAAACTTCTGAATTTGTCTGGATATATATTATTTGAAAGTTATGTTTGTCATTATATTTCAGCACAAAGTGCAGCTCAGCCTTGTCCTGCTCCCAGTCTGAATGGCGGGTTTTTTTCCCCTGGACAATCAGCTTATAATCATGAAGCCACGCTCAGTTATGCCTGTCATGCCGGACTTAAACCAGCAGTGAAGGGCTGGTGGGGGACCAGCAGGTGTCAAAATGGCAATTGGTCTGCTAATCCCCAATGTATAGGTACGTTTTCTATAGTTTTTTTGGTGGTTTGTTTAAATGAGCAGCTCTACGTTGTGTTTTTCAGTGTACAGTGTTATACTTATTTATTTTCATTTCATTCTGATTGGGATTTAAAGGATAATGTCCTGCTTTTGAACCTGTATGACACCTACTTGAGATATTTTCTTTATGACACATTTGTTGTACATTAGTCAGCTTTTTGTTACATGTCACCAACAAACAGATATGAATTATACAAACACCAACACAACCCGGCGGCACACACATATTTTAGCATAACATTTAAAGAGTTGGCAAAGATTCCTTTTTATTTCATTTCTGAATGATGCTGGTTCATTTTGTGCCGAACTTATTTAATATAAAACAATGAAATAAATATATGAGTTGTGGTTAAATTTAACAATAATGTTTGGTTTAATAAAACCTTAGAGATATTGTTCACTCAAATAATGGCATTTTAAAAAATGAAAAGAGTGTCAAGATGGTATAATGTCTTCTTCTTCATTGTTGATCTTGAAAAAGTATTTGGGGGCCCTAACGTCCACTGAATAAAGGACAATGCATAGGAGCTGTCGTGTGCTGCACTTTATTTCAAATTGTATTAATTTATTTTCCAACACAGATGAAAAAGCCTGTATGCCACTGACTATCCCAAATGGAAACTACGATGCAAGCACAGATGGTTGGTATAAGGATGGAGGCAAAATCAGGGTAAGATGTGAAGAAGGATATGAACACAAAGACCATGACGCCACAGCGCAGTGTATAAACGGAATATGGTCCTCTGTGCCAATCTGTGAAAGTAAGTTCAAAGTTAAACAGTTACCAGAATCAAATCAGTGTCTAAATCTTAAATCCACTTTATACAATAACCTCATTTTCAGGGAGTACCGAATCATGTGGTGATCCCCCTAAAATCCCCCATGCAGTCATCATTGGTAAGGGATACCAGGAGGTGTTTGCTGTAAACTCACAACTGCAGTGTAAGTGTGAAGATGGATATGTTGCAGAGGGAGCAGACACCAAAACAATCATTTGCATCTCAGGAAACTGGACTGAAGGCCCAACGTGCAGTAAGTGAAAACAGTGCAATCTGCTGTCATTAAAGGAGACAGGGTGGAGTACTGATACATTAACTTTTTGCTTTAAATTGACATTGCATCAAATAGAGGGGTGCAGTTGAAGTATTGTTGTAAGCAAGTAACATCTCCTTCAACAAAAACAATAGGAATTTTTCCATTGGATTTAGGAATATTGCAGAAAATAAGATGATGACGTTTTTGTTCAGCAGAATAATCTCCACATATTAACACCACTTTGTGATTTTGGAAGCCTAGATGCAATCACCAGAAGTAAAAAGCTAACGCTAGGTGAAAAACAAACTACATCTAGAACTACAAGCTACATCACTGCATAGCTGCGTGTCACAACCGCTAAGCTAAAGGCGGCTAATTTTCGGCGGGATGGCGTTCAGCAGGGGCGGAGTGGCCATTAGGCGCTTTCACACCGCAGTACTTTTCCCACAAAGGTTCATCAGAACTTAGTTCATGAGAAATCTTTAGCTCTCATAAACTAAGTACAGATCGCGTTCACACCGGAATAAGTCCCTGGGGGAGGATTAGGCAAATGAAGCCGCTGACGTCACTTCTTCTTCTTCTGCTTTTGGTTTACTGGCAGGCCGCAAACAACTTCACGGCGTATACTGCCACCCGAAGTCCCCGGCCGGAAGTCCCCGGAGTTGGGGACTGGCTTCAGTAGAAGCTGCCGGGACTCCCAGCACCTTTTTCTCCCACGAAAGTACCTGCTCTCTAGCAGGGACGGAAAAGAGGGTAAAAAAGGTTCTCATTAACTAATTTTAGTTCCAGATTTTTTCGGTGTGAACGCAACATTTCGGAACTATATCGGAACTAAAGTGGGAAAAGTACTGCGGTGTGAACGCGCCTATTGGGAATACCGGGAGTTTTCTTCGGTGGGCCGGTACCGAAGTGGGCCGTTCGGACAATTCACTAGCAACCCCCCGCGTTGACAATTGACTAGCGGTACCGAGCTGGGCCGGTCGGCCGGTCGAGTTTCCCGGGCTGATTTTGAGTCCCAGTCCACCCCTGGCCTTCAGTAGTCGCATTTAGCCTCTTGTTATCAACCGCCATTTTTATGACACATAAAAGCTTCGGATATTCACTGCTAGTGGGGTAATATCATATGCATTTTTTGTCGAAGGACAAAATGTGAAAATCTAACCCATCAAGTGGTAAAATGCTAACTAATTTCCATGTCTTAGGACTCATTCCCCCCATACTTGATGAGTATCTGTGAACGTGTAGTGAACAATTTAAATCAGCATTGTTCACATTTTTGTCAACTTGCTAATAGTTCTTTATTTTCACTGTTAGCGCATTTATCTATTTCTTATTGAACTACCACAATAAAAATACTCTGCTAAGATTTGTTGAAATGAATGCTCATGTTGCTCTGTGTCAGCTGACTGTGTAAATAGGCCACTTTTTTCTAACAAATCCACCATATTCCATTTATAAGGTGATAATATGCCAGTGCTGTTCTGCTGCCCTCAAGTAGTAAAAAAGACCAAGAACTATAAAAACATGTTTAATTTCAATAACAGATAAATAATCCAAAACTGCATTTTGGTGAGAGACCAACTTTTGTTCAAAGAAAACCACCATATTTTGTGATTCATAAAAGTAAACATATTGTATGTATTTTTTTTGTTCTTCTTCTACTGGACATGGTGGTTCTGCAGGTGGGGGGGGACACTACTGTGACGGAACCTGTCTCCGGAGGTAGGCTTGGATTTGTATGAGAAATGTAATAGGACTGTTATAGTATAACATAACCCTCATATATACAATACGTTTGAAATTACAATTGTACTGGTTGAGACAAATGAACAACAGTTAAAATGACAAAGAAGGTTTTACATTTGAGATGATTTACTCTGCTATGGCATCTTGAAATAAGTATTTCTGAAATAACACATTTCTTTTTTCTATTTCAGTCAACACCTGTGGAACTCCCCCCCTGGTTGCTAACGGTGACGTTGTGAAAAACACTGGAAGGTATTTGCAGTACCGATGCGCTGCTTATTACGAACTAGTGGGTCCGAAGATGGTGGAATGTTACAGCAATGGCACGTGGTCCGAAGCACCCACCTGCAAAGGTAAAAACAAGTCCACTCTAACATTCAGATAACTTGGCTGTGTAAATAAATGTGTTGTTTCTTTTTCCAGCCACCTACTGTTCTGTGAACACTGATGAAGTTTCTCACGTAAAATCTGTTGGAGTCAGATTTATAAATGATGGTGAAGAAGAGCATTTGGAATGTTCCAGGTCTGGCAGGTTTTTTTATCAATTTTCTGAAGCCCGGTGCACTCATGGGAAAGTTAAGTTTTCTGAATGTAAGTATAATTTAAAGCTTGTTACATATTCAATGCCATTAAAATATTTTTGAACATTGTTGTTTAAAAGACATAGCTTACGGAAAGCAAGAACTAAGTAATTTAGTCGAATACCCAAGCAACTTCTCAGTGTTTTTGCTTTTTGGTCAAGTCCCGAGTAAGACCACGCATTCAAAATGTTCTTCAAGTAAAAGTACAAAGGTGTTAGCCTCAAAATATAGTTAAAGTACCAAAAGTAAAAGTAATCATTCTGCAGATTGGTCCATTTCAGAATAATATATATGATATGTTTTGATTATAATTATTCATTAACCGAGCAAGACCACACCCCTAAAGATACTGCAGTCTATACTGCAAGTATCTTGCTCAAGGATTAATCGACATGTTGACTACATGGGCTGGGATCGAACTCACGACCTTCTGGTTGAAAGAAGACCGCACTCCCTCGTAGCTACAGTCGCCCATCTGCCTTACATTGGAAACAGCTGATGACGGCTTCTTAATGGCCTGATTACATTCACAATGGTTTCCAGACAGTTAAGCAGATAGTATTGACTTCCAGAGGTGGGAGAAGTACTTAAATCTTGTACTTGAGTAAAAGTAGAAGTACCAGAGTGTAGGAATACTCTGTTACAGTACAATTCCTGCATTCAAATGTTCCTCAAGTAAAAGTAGAAAAGTATTATCATCAAAATATAGTTAAAGTAGCGACAGTAAAAGTAGTCATTGTGCAGATTGGTCCATTTCAGAATAATATATATGACATGTTTTATAATGATTGATCATGAAAGTGTTCTCAAAGCTGGTAAAGGTGCAGCTAGTTTGAATGACTTTGTATACTGCACGGTAGCTTGTGGATTTACTCCAGGTGGAACTAAAGTCTGATTTAATACTTGATTATATTTCACATCATTCATCCAAATCTGCACAGTAACTACAAATATGTGTAGTGGAGTAGAAGTACAAAGTAGCATAAAATGGAAATACTCAAGTAGAGTAAAAGTATCTCAAAGTACTTGAGTAAATGTACTTAGTTACTTCCCACCTCGGTTGAGTTCCTGCTAAGAGAAGCTAACCCCTGCTAGCTACATGTTTAGCATAAGCAAATTAAGTTGATCTCTTTAATCCGAAAAAACAATTTATTTCAAAGATAATTTCACAGTTTTGGCTTTGTACTCAAGTGGCACCATCAAATTCACAGTCAACACTTGCCTACATTACCCACAAAGCAACTCACCTGCAGAGTTAAATCAGTCATTTTAATGTTTATTTGTTGGTAGTGGCTAATGTAGCCTGGAGCCTTTAGCAGCTCCACATTTTCAGTGTTGTTCTTTTCTCTCCATGTTTTCAGGTTGCCATAAGGTTGAAATAAAAACGGTGAGTGTTATTTCTGAATATACCTTTTGAAGAAACACATTGTATTAAAGCTTGTGTTCATGCATTTGTATTTTACCATATTTTGTTTTCATTTCTTATTATATTGTTTTTTGTTTTTCACCAGGGTCTCTGCAACGATCTATTGCCAGGAATGTAATGCTGCCCTTGGATTGGCTCTCACACACTGAGACACCCTGGCAACTTTTGAGGGTTAAGATTGTGAGACACTTTGTGTTTTCTAGAATATATGTCTGGCTTTTCATATGGTTCTGTGAATGCCTCACTACTGTAGGAGGAAATGACTGTGCTTAAAGGTGCAAAAATAACTCAACAAATACAGTGTGTATTTCATCTAGAGGTCTCAATAAAGTATTCAACTCTTGGACGCCTTTTTAATTTTTTTGCAGGATTCTTGTATTTTGTTACTTCTTTCATGAAATGTTTGACATACTGTACTATAATTTCTTTCACACTTGCCTTATCAGACATACCATACTATTTTTCCATACTTCAACAAACTGTACTATGATGTTTTTTCATATGTTTTGACATACTATACTATACATTTATACATGCCCCACCAGACGAAAACATTGAAAAATAACCCCAGATGATGACTTCTAGTAGTTACATCTAAATAGATGAGAGCAACAATCTGGGTACTTTCCCTCTATGCAAGACCACGCCCCTTTTGGGTGAAAACACTCGCTGTCATTTGAATGGATTTTACATATTTTACATCAAAATATTTATAATACCAGCCCTTTTTTTATCTACAAGCAGGGGCGCCGCCAGGGATTTTGGGCCCCATGAAAAGATATCACATTGGTCACTTAATCATTTTTTTCTTAATGTTCTAAAATAGTTTGGGCCCCTGTCAGTCACGGGCCCTTAGAATCATCCTAACTTTTCACCCCCTTACAGCGCCCCTGTCTACAAGGAGCCCAGTTATGATGGTCAGTTAGGCAAACTATTAAATAATGTTATTAGAGATCGTTGATCGGCCTCTTTATGGTTCAATCTAAATCAATAGTGTGATCGATGTCTGGTCGGTCTGCCGCTGGACGAGTGGCAGGCAGCAGTAAGACACTGAGACTGTGATTTCTGAATTAGATCCTTTCTTTTACAGTTCTTTAGTAAAGTAAAGTAAAGAGACCGTGACTCAGGATTTATTTGTGGTTTGAGGTGCAATATATGACCCGGCAGATTTTAGGCACAAAGAAACTAATGTTTTCCTCTTCGCTCTGATGCCTTGTTTGCACCAGAAAGTGGGCGCCCCAGACGAGAGAGGGTAATGAAACATACTGTAATAATAGTTTAGATATGATATATAAACATTATTGTACATTTAAACACATACATTCTGAGGATAATTAGTTCATTTTTATTTTAAATATATAGAAAATTAATTAAAAAAGAAAAATCACTTTCCACCACGGAGGAGGGGGGGGGGGGCGCCGCCCTAGCGCCCTATACTGAACAGCCGCCACTGTTACTATTATAACGTTCTTATGGGTGTTTCAACACACTGGTATGGACGATAGCCATGATATTTAAGGTATAACAAAAAAAAACACTTTGGATAATATTGTTTGAGTATAACTGTGCCTCTTTAATCATTTTTAGTTTCTTTTCCATTCTCCTTTTACCGAATTCCACACACACAGCTGAGTGTAATTTGTCAAATAAATGACGCACAGTAAACAAAAGAACGAAATATTGTACTTTTAAAAGGGCCCTATTCTGCTCATTTTCAGGTTCATATTTGTATTTTTTTCCTCTACTGTGACATGCTCTAAAAGTCCCCTATTGTGCAAAATGCACTTTTTAATGTATTGAATACATATATATGGCTCCCCTGTGTTTTAAGAGACTGACAAAGTTTCAGCAAAAGAGGTAGACTGTTTCTCTTTCCCCCCTGATCCAAATATGTGGAAGCCGCTAAAAAAATGGGCAAGTTAGGTTTCGGGTTCATACGTGACGTAAAATTAATCTTTGACGTCATTTGTGGGTTGTACGGCATTAGCAACAAACGGCCACAGTTAGCCTCCGCCCACCCTCTTACCTGAATACCCTGCCGCGGGACCTCTGTGTGTCTGTGACTTAACCAGAGCAGCATTCATCTACAGCAGGGGTGTCAAACTCAATTTCATCGCGAGCCACATTCGCATAAAGGTTGCACTCAAAGGGCCGGTTGTAACTATATAAATATATAATATATATATAAAATTATGTATTATATTACATTATTGCCTCTGAATTGGATTATTATCGGATACGATAATAACTTAGTAATTAACTACATCTGAAAGCAGAAGTCCAGGGCAAATAATTACAAGTCCCTTCAGTGCGCATGTCACAAAACGAGATGCATTGTGGGACATGTCGTTTATGGGTAACCTGCTTCTGTAAAGCAGCATGTAACCGTATAATAAACGTATTATATTCTTTGCAAGCTCTTGCGGGGCCACATAAAATGAAGTCGCGGGACGAATTTGGCCCCCGGGCCTTGAGTTTGAGACCCCTGATCTACAGTATCCATTACAGCAGGTGGTGGTATTTACTTTTAAACCTGGTTTGAAAACATATTTGTAATATGCAATAAAAAAAATCGACATCTATCGACGCCGATAATCGGCTCGGTGTGTAAGAGGCTTAAAGGCCCTGACACACCAATCTGACAACAAAGAACTGACACAGACCGACCCCGACTGTCGCGTCGCCTCGCATCTCTGCGGATTGGCGGTGTGTCGCACTGGAACACACCGCAAAGACTTCAGCCGACGGCCAAGAAGCACGTACGAACTGCACATGCGTGAGTGGCAATAACTCTCCTTACCAGCAGGCGGCGGTAGTGTGTATTCGTCATTCAAAAGAGGCAACAACCGGAAGACAGACTGCGTGATAACCGAGAGAAGAAGAACAGACTGCGTGATATAAACAAACAACAAATAGCGTGTGCGTTCCATTTTCACTCTACAGCGAGAAGCTCATGGGGCTTTCCCGAACCTGTGTCGAGAGCTGGAGTTAAATGAAATCTCAGATTTGCCTTCTTAATAGTTTGTTTGGGTCCCTCACTTCCGTTTCGCTTCTCATGCACTGATTCGCTAGCTGAACAGCCAATCAGAATGATTTCTTTCGCCGACTGCCTTTGGCCGACAGCCTACCGATTCAACATGTTGAATCGGCGGGTTTTCGGCCGAAAAGGCGTCGGGTCGGCTGAAGAGACCGACGGTGCGGGACACACCAATCCGATTAGGGCGTGTCGACGGTCATCGTCGGCCTGACGCCCACCAACGCCGATAATCGGGTTGGCGTGTCAGGGCCTTAGCTGAATGCGGCGATTACCATTTTGTTCAGCAAAACGCCTCACAAACGTATTAAGATCTAAAGCTTTAGTGCGTTTTGATTCAAGGCTGAGTACAGCCAAACTTGACAGTCTCTTCTCTGTCATTGTAGACCGCAAATACCTCATTCCTTCCCTCTACTTGGGTCCGAATGCTTCTCGTTTTGCGCCGTCCCGTTCAAATGAAATTGCCGCCAATCATATTTCCACGATCGCGCCAGGGCCGGGGGAGGGGTTACAAGACTCGCGTCTTGTGCTGCATCAACACGTTCTCACTCCCAACCCGTCACATGTTGACGGACGGTCAGGGCCCCTCCCCGTCACTCCATTACGGACAGGGTACCCCTTGAGAGTCAGTTTTCAACGGGCAGGGCGTCCCATAGACCTTCATAGACCTCCCATAGCGTTGATAATAGACGCCATGAGAACGCTCCCCGACGGTCGGTTGTTATTGTCAATATTAATATAATAATTATTTATTTTGTAATAGTCACACTCGATTTCGCCGATTTTCTTGTTGCCCCAGCTGGTTGACACCTCTTTTAGCAGAAACAAAGGCTACATTAATGTATTAAATCGATGTTAATCCATGTGTGTGGTTGTGGAATTAATGGAAGTGCCGTTATGCGATTGCGTTGCCAGGCAACGCAATTTACAAACTCTTCAACTACAACCCTAATTATATTTTAAAACATTTTAGAAGGCCTCACGAAATACTTTAATGTAAATTAAAATGTAAGTGTGAAGGGATGTGTGTAATGTGGTGATTGACATTATTCACCCACGGATCTATGGGTTGGGGGTATTGTTCCGCACGGACATTTTAGTTAACCGGACTTCCTGTTGATGTGAAATCCGAAAACATTTAAAAAAAAAAAAAAATACTTTATTCCGAGTTTGCTTGCTTTTCTCTTTGGAGGTCATCACATAACGGCATTGTAATATGTTCGGCTGCTAGGACCCGTTCAAATCCAGTTTTGGACAGTCTGTCGTGGTTCCATCCCATTTCAAAGTGCTGTTTGACGCTCGGCGTAACCCTCGGCGCACACTCAATCATCCAATCACAGAGCTTGAGGACTATCACGGGGTTTGTCAAGCGAAGCGGAGAGAATACTTACTTCCGCGTGTAAAATTCTCTAAAGCAACTACTATGAGCTGCTCCGACCCTCGGTCCTGACGGACTCCAACTTGTGTTTATTAATCAAACAAATAAATACACACAAGGATAATTATGTGTTATTGTTGAGTAAATAACAGTGTGTGGTTTAGAAAAGAATACAAAATTAGAAGGAAAAAACGATGAAACAATACAGATTTCAGTATTCTGAGCCCCTACTCTCCCCCTAACTGACGGCAACAAAAGTCCTACATTATTCAATTAAAATAAAGAAGTAAAAACAATAAGTGTGGCTTGATCTTGAGTAAGAAAAAGGTTGATAAACGCTGTGAGAATGGATCTGCGGAGAGCATTTAGCCGCGATCCCAACTTGTCTATTACCAACGTTCAGGGAGCTCTATGCAAGTCAATGGGACGCCCTGCCAGTTGAAAACTGACTCTCAAGGGGTACCCTGTCCGTAATAGAGTGACGGGGAGGGGCCCTGACCGACCGTCAACATGTGACGGGTTGGGAGTGAGAACGTGTTGGCTGCATTCACTTGCACTCGGACATTAGAGACTTTCTCTCATAAATGTCCGATGAGCCACAACTTTTCTTTCAAAACAAAGCTGCCAACTGGGGTGGCAGCTGGGGTGGCAAGGCCTATTTTTAGGGTGGCAGTTGCCACCCCATGCCACCCTGGTAGATCCGCCTCTGACTGCAAAGTATGCTGATACATGGACAGAAAGACTCACTTACAGTATGGTGGTGTCACAACAAAACACATTTTCAAAACAGAAAACTCAACTTTCCAATAAATATTTACAGTGTTTCTGGCAAATTAGCATCTGAACCATGTGTTGTTGTGTTGATGGGCCTTCAGCTGCCTAACCAACACGTATATAAAAGTGCACATCTTGAAGGTTTATTGACAGAATCA